CATTCTGGCTTGGTTGGAGGCCGTTTGGCAGATTTCTGGGGCCTCGGGAAAACGTCAATAACTCCTGAAACAAATAAACTAGAGAGCTCGGCCTTGCGTAGATCGAAAGAGAACAATTTTTTCTATCCAATGATTGAAGTTCAAGTAAAAATCCAACGGTGAAAACTTTCGCAATATTGTTTACAAAATGTCGACCATAGCATTCACTTGATTGGTCAATTGATAACCAATCAGATTTTGACTAATTTTATGAAGAAAATAATTCTCTTTCTAATACTGAAAACCGAAGGTCTCTATCTTGTTTCTATCAAAAGTTATTGAAAAAATAGTTACCTGCATTATATTTTGGAATCGATATTAGATGTGAGTGAGTGAATACTATTTTTCCCATCGCTAATAATTTTGTCCGTTCTTCTGATATGACATTGATAGCAGATATCGAATCGCTTCTCATTCTCTTCAAACCAAACCGTTCGACTTTTTGAAAAGTTCAAACCGAACCGATTCCATCTCTGCTACACATCTATAAATCAATGATCTAATACTGTCAATAAGCCATATTGGTTCATCCATGTTGCGCGTAGCCCGACAAAGTTACACAAATTCATTGTGTTACAATCAGAGACTTTATCAACATGCACGGAAAACTTTGTGAAAGATGCATCGGGAAGGTAACGTTTCGTAACGGTTGGTTACGAAAGCCCAGTAAGTAGCAGGACTTTCGTAACAATGTAAAATGAATAAATCATGAAAAGCTGGGCTTTCGTAACGATTTTTGACAGGGTTTTCGTATCGATTTTGACAGGGCTTTCGTATCATTTTTAACGAGCTTTTCTATCAAGTTTACAGGATTTTCGTAACAATTTTGACAGGGCCTTCGTAACAGTCTTACAGAGTCTTCGTACCGTCCTTGCAGGACTATCGTACCGTAAAAGGATTTAGTATGACATTTAGTTAGATGTTGATGACACGATTTCATATTGAAATTAGTGATCTACCAAAATGATAGCATAAATAGTTCAAAAGTAAAAGAGGGAACCATAACCTAAGTATTAACAAACTGTTGTCTTCTTTTACATCTCTTTCTTATTAACAACAAAAAGTAACAAAAACCAGGCAATATATTGAGAGAGAAGAGTGAATGAGAAAAATATCCAGATAATAGAATTAAGAATACACATAATTGATCTTCTCGATTTTATATCAACAACTTTAACAAAGTTCAGGCCTATACGAATCTGGAGAAACATAGAGAGCTAGATGTCGAGAACAAAAAGATATCAAAAGAAAAAGACTTTTCACTCTACTTATATACTGGATAATTTAAGCGATATGTGTAATCATGGGTATTTGCAACGAATACCCTGTTCATTTTAGTTATGAATGCAATAAAAACTTGATTACGAAAGCCCTGTCAAAATTCGTTACGAAAGCCCTGTAGTAAAAATGATGACAGGACTTTCGTATTACGAAAGCCCTGTAAATTTCTCGTTACGAATCGTTATACCCCCATCAAAATTCACTTCTCATGATTTTCTATTAAATCTGACTAAAGATTAGTTATCAATATGAGGAAATTTGATCTGATATAGGCTTTGATGAAGAAAGAAGTCGCAATTCTGCCTTTTAAGAGCACTATGCATTGAACTTAAACTTCGCACTTTCTCGTGAAAGTTGACCCAATGTAAATGAGGGTGAGAAATGTAAATTTCATGTCTTCATTCGATATGAGTTTGCTTGATTTTAGTTAGAAAAAAAGGTTTCTGATTGTTTGTAAGAATAGAAGAGGCTAAAAACGTGGCCGACAATCTATAAGTTCTGTTAAAAGTACCTTCATATGACTTTCTGATGGCTGCTAAATAGAAAATCATGAGAAGTGAATTTTGATATACAATGGGATAATTCACAACGAACTTTTTCTCGTAATTTTTTCATTCTGCTGGATGTATATGGAACTGNTGAATACGTTTCGTATAAACTAGTCTATAGTTTTTTGCGTTGTACATTTTGTATCATAGCTAGAAGCGGTAACAGCGATCTTGTACTGATGGGGATTTTAAGTCGGCCGGTCTATTAGTTTGGTACCGGTAGACCAATCAAACTGGTACACCGATCGATCCAGTACTGGTTGTCAAAACACTAGACCGATTCCCTCTGTGGCGGATACCATTGCAAAGGTTAGTACACAGTAGCGTATGATCGTCGGAATGGAAGACCTGGGTTTGAAAGAACATAACTTCTTGTGAAGGGGAAAAAAACGGATCTTTTTGGATTTTAAATCCGAAAAAATACCAATAAATCCGAACAAATCCAAAAAATCCGAAATCTAAAGTAGTCTTCAACAATATACTCGGATCATATTTCCAAGTGCATCCAACATAGATAACCAGTTTTAAGGACTGCTACACATAGAGGAAAAGGCGAATTCACAAGGTTCCGCATCCCTATAAGCACAATGCGAATCCTTGAAATCCAAGCAGCACGATGAGAATCCCGGGAAAACGATGCATCCTATAGGAAACCCATAAGTTCTAATGACGTATCCTATGGAAGTATTCATAAGTCATTGCTGTCTATCAAACGAGGTACCCATAATAACTCCATAAGACCGATCCTATGGAGGTACATATAAGTCCTCAAAGCCTATACCATGGGTTACCCATAAGTCCTCTAGGACAATCCTATGAGTGTACTTATAAGTCATGATCACCTATCCTATACGATATCCACAAGTCCTTAAGGCCTATCCTATGGCCGATATTCATAAGTCATCATGGCCTGTCCTCTAGCGATGCAATAAGTCCTCAACAGCTATCCTATGTAGGTACTCATAAGTCTTCAACGCATATCTTCTAGGCGTACTCATAAGTCATTATAGCCTATCTAATGGGATACCTATAAGTTCTAAAGGGCTAACTTATGGCAGTAGTCATATGTCCTTATGGTCTATCTTATGGGAGCACCATATGCCACTATCGCCTATCCTATGGGCGTATTCATAAGTCCCCAAAGCTGTCCTATATGGGTGCCTATAAGTAGGTTTGTAACAGCTCCGGCGCAGTTCGCTGAGCTGGTGCTGTCTAGCAGCTCTTCGATCAAGCTCTTGCGAATTGTTGAACTGAAGCTGTGATGCACTTAAAGTTAAATCCATGTTTGATTAAAGAGGAATCCAAAGTTGAGCCTAATTTGTCAAACGCAATGCTCTGGAGATAACATTAATTGTGAAGTAAAGAAACTCCATAACGTTCCTCAATCACACCGAGCTGAAAAGAAGAGTCCACTTTTACTTCTTAACGGAAAACTCAAATACACAATTGTTGCATGACCCTTAAACCAATATTTCATACTACATCAAAATCCAGTTAGTGGATGACGTGCGAGTGGCGTGCTTATAACAGTTATACGCCCTGTGCCTAAAAGCCCTTGACAACCTAGGATGACTAATGCTAGATATTACTTGAACAGTTAGCGTTACCTCACACTCCTCCACCGAAGATCATTCGAAGAGGAACCAAAACTGCCGCAAGATAGTACTTGAAACGTTAACCATACCAAACATCAATTGCCCATGTGGACTAATGGGTACCACTATGGGATAGACCATGAGGACTTATGTGTATCACATAGGATAGGCCATGCGGACTGATGGGTACTTTCATAGGATAGTCCTTGAGGACCTATTAATTCGGTCCTAAGGTAGGCCTTCAGGGGTTTCAGGTACATCCCCCTCGGTAGTCGTAGGAAACTATGAGATAGCTCATATGAAAAGAAGTGGTGATGGTAGGCTGAAATTAATCTAATATCAAACAAAACAGTGAGAAAAACCTTAAAAACTCAAAACAGCCCGAAAAAATCGGTATATCGAAGCAAATCCAAAAATCCAAAAAGTCAAAAAAATCCGAATGGATCCTAAATAATCCCAAAATCCCAAATCCTCCTTTTCCCCTTGCTTCTTGTGCAGAACTATTTCTGTGTAAAAATGCGGAACCTATTCTTTTCCAGAACCATCGGAAGGGTTCTACGCTTTGTCCGATGGCAGACCTCCTTTTCTTAGAGTCAGGTCAAAAACTTATGCGTTCTGCCGGATGTCCTTAAAGTATGACCACTAAAGTAATTTGTAAAGGATGTCCACCTCAGAAGAATCCAATATTCTTTTGACTTCTCTATTTAGATGTGTCAGTTNTCCTGATTAATTTTTTCATCAATACTCAGCAACGCTTCAACCGTTTGGATTGAAATTTTTACCAGAAATACATTATGAAATGTATAGTCGTTTGACATAATTTTGGATTCGAAATATCTCATTTGGGAAAAAAATATATGCATGATTCTTCTGTGTGTGAATTATTTATTTTTATACAAAAGTGCATGTCAGTATTTTGAACAAATCTCCATCTAAATTCTTTCAAAATGACTTTATTTTACCATCAAACGATTCCTCGTGAAATTCTGCATCTAGTAAACTATGAACCAACCGAAATTGACGGGGGCCCAAAAATGGCCCTTATACGCCCCCATCCTTTGAAATCCAAGATTATTTTCTTTTTCCAATAGATTTGCATTGTGCTAAATGCTACCCACGGTACGAGCATTTTTACAGAAGCAGACTTTTGTATGGAGATCAATACGAAAAACTTGAACTGAAAAGTCCGATAGAGCATGAGTCTGGTCCGATAAAACAATCGAAAGTTATGCTCACGCCCAATTCTATTCTCTTTTCAATACAAATATAAGTTAGGGCGAAAAATTCGTTGAGTTGAAATGCCTCTAGAACCAAGATCGTAAACACATTATTTCTGTGAATGTTATGTGGACGATAGGTAGAAAGTACAATTCTAGTATATATGTTACTCGCGCTTAGGATTCTTTATCATAACGGTGATATCCACGGTGTAATCGTATTATGAATAGATTTCTTTGGATGAACCTAAAGCTCTTTGTTTTTCTATTAGTAAGAAATGATTTTAGTTTCAAAAAATTCGGTACATAATTAGAACATCATGTGGATTACAACAATATATATTCTATACAGAATAAATACATGCCAATGTTTTCATTTAGAATGGATCAATATTGGCAATATGAGTTATTTACGAAAGTTTTTTGCAGCAACCTTGTTAGCAAATGGAACGGTGTTAGTTACTGGTGGATGGAATATTTATGACATTGAAGTTCAAAGGAGTGCTGAGTTGTACGATCCATCGACAGAAATTTGGAGACCAACTGGTAATATGAAACGTGATCGAAACTTGCACACAACACTCTTATTAACAAATGAAAAAGTGTTAGTTACTGGTGGACTAATTCTTGGTATTCTTGAAAACGATTCTGAGTTATACGATCCATCCACAGGAACTTGGACAACTAGTAGCAGTATGACTCATAAAGTAGTACTTCACACAGCATGCTTATTGACAAATGGACAAGTGCCAGTTACTGGTGGATTTAAATTTTATAGTGTTGACGGTGAAAGCACTGCTGAGTTGTACGATCCATCGAGAGATATTTGGACTACTACTGATAGCATGTACAATGGACGACAGGGTCACACAGCATCCTTATTAAAAAGCGGATAAGTATTAGTTGCTGGTGGATCGAGCAATCGTACTTCTTTAGACAGTGCTGAGTTATACAATCCATTACTAGGAACTTGGGCCATTGCTAGAAGTATGAACCAGAGTTGAGAAGGCCACACAGCATCCTTATTAACAAATGGAAAAGTATTAGTTACTGGTGGAGCGAACGACAATACTATCTTGGATAGCGCTGAGTTGTACGATTCATTGACAAGATTGTGGACAATCACTAGTAGAATGAATCATCAACGAAAGAGTCACACAGCAATCTTATTAAAAAATGGGTGTGGGTGTGGGTGTGGGTGTGGGTGTGGGTGTGGGGTGTGGGTGTGGGTGTGGGTGTGGGTGGCTGGTTGTGGGTGTGGGATGAATGAATGGAATAATAATAGCCGCACCTACACCCACACCCACCCACACCCACACCCACACCCACACCCACACCCACACCCACACTCACACACACACCCACACCCACACCCGCACTCCATCCACGTCCACCCACACCCACACCCCAAAATATCTTTTGAAAGACCTTGATGAAAATTACTGAATGTTGAGTAGTGAATAGAGAAACTGAACAGAATAAGAGAACATTACGAGAAATCAATTCAGTTTAAAAATATGAAATTTTCTATCTCACTTTTATGTAACGCTATTTGGATTAGCTCCACTTTTCTTAGGTCTCCCAGGATTCGCTGCAGTTATGAGTGACACGATAGGAATGAAAAGTACAGATATAATCTCAATGTCTGCTGGATTGGTTAGACGCCATTCAATTTCTTTGATATTGTCATCTGAATGAGGAACATACGTTAGTACCATACTTGGAAGACTACGAAATGACTTCTCTTTAATACTACATTCTAATACTGCTATAAAGCGTTTATCTTCATGTGTAAACGATACTGCATATCCTGGATCTGAACAGTAGTGTATACTTGGTGTTACAAATATTGCATTTGAAAAATCTTTAATACCGAAAGCTGTCGTTCCACGTGAAATATGATTAATTGGTGGACAAATACGTAGTCCGCTAGAGACTACCGTATCTGGCATAACGAGTCCATCCATTAGAATTGATTCTATAGTTATTATACTTGTTGCATGATAAGCGATGTGAGGAAAATCTTTTTTATCATGCTCACGAACTTTTAAACATTGACAAGGAAGAGGTGTATTCCGATTGTATAATGGGTTTCTACTAGCATTCTGAATAAATAGATCTGATGGAAGATTTAACAAAGAAGGTATAATATAGATATGACGAACAAAAGCATGCATTCCACCTATCGCAATTAAACGTGCATGTTGTGTTTTATAACAAAACCAATAAGATGATGGTTGTACCCAATTATACAATCGAGCATTGCGTTCACCATTAAATGAAACCATTGGCATATCTTTTAATTTTGCACTTTTATCATGATATTTGATTTGAAAAAGACAAACACATTCTTGCAGATTGAATAAATCTAAATCTTGTGACATGATATAGTCGATATCAACTCTCGCATCATAATCAGTGCAATTACTCGGAAAAGTAAATGATAAAGCCTCAAACATAAATGTTTGATTTTTATCGAGGTTCCCTCTTACATTCATCAATGAACTTCGACATTTTGAACTAAATTTACGATAAACGTCACGCATATCAACTATAGGAAGATCATTACGAAGAATGTGACCAGAGCTTCCATAATGGGCTCTTTCATGTGCTGCAATGCATAATGGTAATCGAAAAAAATTCGTTGTTGCACATCGTGCACGATAGACAGCTGATAAAAGTGTCGTACCATCTTTGTCAAAATGTAATGGACGTCGAGCTATGGAAAAATAACGGTAAAGATTTCTCATTGACTTTGGCATTGCATCGACAAGATCGGCGTATGTTGCATTATAAGATAACTGTAATTTTGCTAATGGTTCATTACCAGATTTAGCATCATCACCATATAAATGTACGGCAAGAAAATTATTTTCATCTAAACCAATGTTGGATTTTTTTAAAAACGCCAGCCGCCACTTTTTAATTAACTCTTCAGCATTGATAGCTATCGACTTAGGGTTTTAACCGTTCGATAGAGTGGCACGGACAGCGTCTATCTATATGAGATTCATTAACGTCAAAGAAATTTTTTATGGTAAATATTTAATTGATATATTTTTCGTTACTAATTTCTATTAGTTTTCATAGAGACCTAGGCTTAAATTACAGCAAAATCTAGCCTGGAGAGTACTGTATCGTAGCGGGGTAACCAAGGTTTTGGCAATGATAGGGCTCAGCAACGCTTAAATATCCGGTGGTAGGGCTCAGGTTACTGAGATCTGTGGGATGGTAAGGCTTGTGAAAGGATTCAGCTGATGATGCTAACACCGGTGGTAGGGCTGAGCCCCCATGGTCCTATCTTGGTTACGCCACTACTGTATCTGGGCTAAAATTTTCAGCTCTTTCTGTTATTGTCTTGAGTACGAGGCTTCGTCAAAATTTTGAGATTTTGACTAATATTCCGGGCCCTCCGAGCTACATTTTGATGTGATTTAAGCCTAGGTTTCTATGAAAACTAATGAAAATTGTTAACGAAAAATATATCAATCAAATAATTATCATAAAAAAGCTTCGTTGGTGTTAATGAATCTCATATAGACAGACGCCGCCCACGTCGCTCTATCGAATGGCTAAAACCCGAAATCCATAGCTATCAATGGTGTAGGTGTGGGTATGAGTGTGGGCGTGTGAGTATGGGTGTGGGGGTGGATAAGATTGTATCTTGTCTTCAGTCACAAACCCATACCCTCATACCCATTGTGAACGTCTGTAGATGTCGTTGGTTACCATCTACAGTGTTCCGCTCTATTTATTTTCGTTCTGTTGCGCAATCGATTGGGAAACACCGCTCACGTGATTGAGCTAGTTGATATTACGCATATATATATACATAGAGGTTTAGCTCAGTAAGATCATCCCCATTACAGAGCTAACAATTGGCGAAGAAGTTAAAATTTATCATTAAAAATAAAAGAAAAAAAACGATCATTATTATAATTCTATTTTTCTTTTTTCGAAACTGTAGCATCATCCGATTTTTTTCTTGTTGTTTCGATATCACTACAGGGTGTGGGGTGTGGGTGTGGATGTGGGTGTGGGGTGTGGGTGTGGGTGTGGGTGTGGGTGTGGGTGTGGGTGTGGGTGTGGGTGGGTGTCGGTGTAGTTCTATTCTCTATTCATATCCACACTTACACCCACACCCACACCCACACCCACACCCACACTTACACCCACACTCACACCCATACCCACACCCACACCCACACCCACACCCACACCCACACCCACACTTACACCCACAACCACACCCACACCCACCCACGCCCACCCACATCCTTTCCATTTAATTATTAACAACAAATCTATCGTGTTTCACATCTTTAATCTCACAAGGGATTGCGCTAACAGCTTTTTATAATCTTAATCATCAGCATTGTTGTTCCTTTGCCACCATTTTTCCTTCGCCGTCTTTTTAAATTTTTTTGCACTGTAAATACATGCTCTTACTCATCATGTGAAGTTCTCATAGTACAGAGCAGTATTGAAAATAAACAGCGTGGGTAAGCAACATCACGACGAAAAAATAACACTGAAGAAAACGCTTGGCTTGGAAAAAGCCAACTACTTGAAAACAACCATGCATGTGTAGTGTACTCGGGTATTTAACACATTCAAGAGTGTCGTCAAAGATTGAAGAACAGATTTAAGCGTGAGTAGAATACCAGGATCATCGACTTTTTTCTTTTAGCCTACTGCAAAATGTAGTTATCATTTAGAAGTGCAGAGAGAAACAATACTAATGATCAAAAGAATCAATGTAGACAGTAGAAAATGGAATAAGAAGAATACGATTTTTTTTTCTATTGCATGTATAATTTACTTATCAGAACGTGGCACTAATTATAAAGAATAATAGCAGAAATCAAACACAGGCATAATAACTCGGATCATTAAAGTAAAAACAAAGTAAAAGTTTTGCGTGAAAAACACACCTTTTAGACAAAAAAAAATTCTTCTATTTTAATGGAACAAGAAATAACTGAAAACGTGCTGGTCTATATTTAATCAGGATTAGTTTTATATGCATAATGTGCGTATAGAGGGGGCGAAAGTAGAGTTTACATCGTAAGTCCACTTATCATATGGGTGTGGCTATGGCTGGTTGTTAAAGGCAAAACTACCTTTTCAACACCGACAGTAGCCCATACACACACCCACACCCCAAGATTTTTCTAACGGTTTTAATCAAGCGTATTCAAAGAATTGCTTTTTCTCCTACGTTAAAAAGCGATTTTTCCATCAAAATACTAGAAAAACTTAAATTTTCCGATTATATCGTTGAAAACAATGATGTAGTAAAATGTGCTTCCATGGTTTCGATATCTCACTGACAGTAATTAGGAAAAGAATCTGAATGTAGGATTGTAGGTCTTTGCTTGGCGGTTTTAGCACACTCGTGAGATTTAATAAATTAATATCGCGACTGTGAAAGACATGCTGTTTTTCCTGAAGCTCTATGTAAAATCATTAGAAAATTAGTTAGAAAAATCTTTGTATACATGATTCAATGCATCTTTATTTGCTCTTTCCAACGGTGAAAACCGCAGGTCTCTATATCATTCCTATCAAAAGTTATTCAACAACTGTCTGCGACCACTTATCTCTGAAATGGACCTTAGTTATAAGATAGTTATGAATGTAGTCACTAGAGAATTATTGAAAATTGTATTTTTTTCTCTAGAGTATACAATTGCTATAAGTTTCTATTTAACGAAAAAAATGAATAAAGATAAATGTTAATCAGAATATGTTTTTATTTTTGAATTAAAAAAAGCAGAACGATCTTCTAGTTTAAATAATGAAATTAAAAAAAAAGAAAACATTAAGTTTAAAAATATAATTATGAATATAGATAAGTTTATTGTAAAGTAGATATTGAATCATTTTTTATAGTCATATCTTCTAATGAAATAGTTTTATCATACGTTAAATCACGTCCATACATCTGTGTTAGTTCTTTTAATCGGATTCGAATATCTGATGTCAATTGAGACCATTTAAAACGCCATGACCAATTTTGTGGACCATCGTATTCAATATTAGATTCTAATAATAACCAACAAAAACAAATTTAGTCATAGTGGATTAATTATTTTTTTCAATGTTTCATATTAGAAATAGAACTAACATAGCCATATTATAATGCAGTATTTCTTTCTCCTAACTATAATTTGTAACAATATAAATTACCTGTTCCTGGTATATTCATTCTTTTTAAACTACTTAAAAGATCGTGCATTGGAATGATTGCTCCATTTGCAGCTGATTGTAAAAGAATTTGTATAAAATACCAGGAAATATATTTCTCTAGATGTTTTTCCAATTTTAAACCATTAATTAATTCTTTATCACCTTCAATTGGACGACGTATATATTCAATAAATTGACGTTTTTCTTTTTAGGATGCTTCTTCGATCCACCATTGTAATGTTGTTGGATTATCATGAGCCCCTGCATTATTCATTACAAATTATCTTTAAGAAATAGTTTTTCTCAGTTATAAAAATTTTTAAGTTAGATATTCCGTCAAATCAGTTTAATACAATTGTAAATATAAAATGCAATATATGTTTACATAAAAAGTTTTCTAAAATATTCTAACGCCTGCAATTCGCAAGTATTCTTGAGTTTTACTAAATGAAGTCTTTAAAGTAAAAATTCTCTAGAAAATCAGAGTTGTTTTTCTTCTTTTCTTTCATAGAGTACATTTTTGATTGTTAGTAAGGATGACTAGAAAATAAAACAGTGACACATTTTAGAGAATAATCACAAACTATTTTCAGTCATTCAAGTTTTGACACCTCTTTCTAATGTAACAGAACGTTGCACGGACAAGTACATTCCGATTGTCAAGTTATGTATCACAAAGGAAGAAAAGAATGTTTTATTTATCTACATATAGATGAATTACTACCTGTATATGCTACTGAATTTGGAATATAATTATGAGGAGCATAAATATTAGTTGAATCGGAGTAAAAACCCATTTGTAAAATTCTAACACCACATAAGTGAAAACGGTCACGTAATTCAAATACTTCTGGTTTAAGATCACCTAGATCTTCCACAATTATTGGAATATCTGAGCCAAATGATTCTGTTATAGCCATCAAGAATTCATGACCACTAAAAATATTAAGAAAAGGATTTAAAACATTTAAATATTCGATAAATAAAAATACAAAAAAATTTATTATAATAATCTATTTCTATTGAAACAAGTCTGTGCGTAAAGTTTATAGAATACAGACTGAAAAGTTATGCATCAGTTAGTAATCTTGTCAGCTTTATTATGATAAAATATAAAATACATTATCTAAGATTTCTTTAATAAGAACTTATTGTTTCCCAACATACCTATGTTAGTATTATTTAATTCAACTTACGGTGTTTTAACCCAATCCGCTTCTGTAATATTAGGTTCTTGTGTTATAATATCAACTGGTATAACATAATGTGATATTAGACCACGAAAATGATCAATTCTGAGAAAATCAACAATTGACAATTTTCTACGTAAACGTTTGATCCACCAATCAAACAAATCTTTTCTGACATTATCATTGTTCCAATCATATATTGGCATATTCCAATTTTGACCTTTTTCTGAACCTTGATCAGGAGGAAAACCTATCAAATTATAACAGATTATTACACTATTTAATTTTAAATAACATCAAGCTTTGAGTGATTAATTATGAGTAAAAATAATTAATAAAATTTTTATCAACGAAGCTCCTTCTTTAAGATTAACATTTGCTATACGAATGCCAAAAATGCATTAAATGAATAATTTTTAACAAAGCTCTCTATTTTACTTCCACAACTTGAACAACATATTCTCTTTTGAACTATCGTTCATGACTTTATTTATTCAACCATTGTGACCATGTTATTCTAATAATTGATTAGTTTACACTTTTTATGTTGATCATGTAATAACTATGAGGAATCAATTTATCACTAAACATCTCTGTTGAAATTTTAAATATAAGTTTTTATGATAGTAACAATCAAAAATGACACTAAAACATTCGTAAATGTGTTCCAATCGCTGAAATTTCAAACGAAACTTTAAAACATTTTAAAACTGTTATACCTGCAACAACAGTTGGTTTCATTGTATCATTGTGGTCTAATTGGAACATAAAAGAATTTGACCAAACATCAACTGAATCGTAATCAATATACATAGGTATATCACCAATTATTTTTATTCTAGAATCATTCGCATATTTTCTTAAACCTTTCCATTGTTGATCAAATATATATTGAACAAATACATAATATTCTATACGATCTCTTTCAAGTTCGCGGATCGTTTGTAAAGCATATGATTCATGTCTACGTAAAGATTCAGACCATTCAGACCATATACTGTCGTTATACTGAATAAACAATACTATTCTAATATTTTTAAAATAAAATAGCATAAATCAAGAAAATTTCAAAACAAAAAAAGATAAATTAATTTATTTCTTACTTGATAAAATTCATTCTTTGTTTCCATCTATCTCAAAGAATCACTACTCATGTCGTCAAAATTGCCTAAATTTTCACGATTACGCGTGATTTTTTAGAATACCAACGATTAATCATGATTAATCACCAGTGTTCCGAAAATTACAATTAAACGGTAGTATTTTATATCAACGATATATCGCGAATAAATCAACAGCTAATTTAGCTTAATATTTGACTTGAGTTAAGAAATAATAGCAATGCTCAGTCATTCTTCATATTATCAAAGTCGCATTCATTTTGATGATTAATGAGAACACCAAAAAATTCAGCAATTAATTGTGATATTTCAAAAACAGATATTTTTTTTGTCGTGCAAATAGAAAAATAAACAGAACATACTATTTTATTGGGATTGAAAGTATTTTCATAGTTTCTATACCAAACTTTGTAGAGCAAAAAATCAGAATGAAAATGTAGGGATAGGCAGATGTTAACTAATAAAAATAAATACAACCCTTGTTATTCTTTGATTCTTTCATAGTGTACGTTATTTTGTTCTATTCAGAAAGTTGATCGTATCTCTATATTTTTTGAGCAATAGACTGTGTTTTCTGCCATGTTTAATTCAAATATTTTTCAAACGATTTTTGGTGCTTTCTTATGAATGCCCATTTATTTATCATAAGATAGATATTTTTTTAAAATATTTTATCCTTATATTAATAATAATACTGAATAGTCTTTGCATAATCAGACTTTAAAAATGTAATACTTGTAATTTGACTCATTTAAGTTAAAAATTATAATATTAATATTCAGTTTATTGTATGTATAAATGTAATCTGTTATTTTATAATTAATTTACTACATTTTTTATATGAATTATGAGAAAAGTATTTATCTTTGTTGTCAAATAATAGGAAAATGATATCTCTAATTTTGTTCATTTTTGTGAAGTACAGAACTTTGATTTAACAGAAGTAGAAAATTCAACAGAATCAAGAATAAGTAAGAATAGTTCAATGGCATGTTCTTCGCTTCGAAATTACAACTTCATTCGGTCGAATCCACTCTGCAATAAAAATGAAAATTGTACGGGATGCTTCTAGTTATCTATGAAATAAATTTTGAGACGTCATCAGGTTTACTAAAATGTATGCGAATAGTAAAACAAGAAGAGTTCAGGATCAGGATTATCTTAAAAATAATTTCTTCGTAGATACATATATTACAGCACCACTATTTCTTGCTTGAAAGTGCCTTATTACACACAACTTTGAAATTGCTCTTATGAGTCAAGGAAAAATATGCAAACTAAACAACAACGGTTTTCAATGCAGATTTTCAAAACACTTGCTCTCCGGAGTAGTCATAATGCCAACTTCTATTTTTATGAACAGGTTTGGCCATTGAAAATACTATTAGAATAATCGCGGTTTTTCATGAAAATCAGTAATAATCATTAGTTTCGGTGATTTTATTGTGATATAATCTCACAATTAATCGCCCTAATATTTTGCGATAATATCGTTGATTTTTAAGCGATTTTCACCACATGAGTAACGCATCATTAAGTTTTGTTCTACATAACATTTCATTTCTATGATTTACGAATTGTTCAGAAATATTAATTAAAATAAACTTTTCTTTCCTAAAAATTATCTTTCAATCCACGAAATAGTATACTTATGCAATAGTGTACTAAAGTCATTAAAAGACTAATCTATCTTACCTTTTCTTTGATTGCCATAAATAATGTAAAATCATCAATCCAATATTTTTCTTGTTGAAAAAAGTCATTTAAAATTTCTGATGCTTACGAATTATTATTTTTAAAATTAAAATATGCTTTTTTCAGTATTTTCTCTTTGTTTTTCTTTACTTGATGAAAATCATTCCCCTTTTTCGCTTCGTGAAGTATAGTCGCATTTTTTCTCGTCTTATATCGTTACATTCTTTTGCATCAGCCTCCCTAAAAAGATAAGGGAGTAATGATGACTGAAGAAATTAATGTTGGTTCCCAACTAAATCATCAAACAACAATTAATGGCTACCAAATTATGGAACAAGATAATGTAGCAAATGGTCAAGTAGAACAGATATCTAAGTTTCTATCGGAATGTCCAGAAGCTGCACTTAATGTACACAAGTATCTTCAGAAAAAATATTCAAATCAACAACAAAAATTCAATCAACCGGTTAATTCAACACCGAAACGTGGTCATCCTTTAGATGACAGCGGAGGTTCAACTAATAATGGAAGTAGTCATCGAAAATTTCAACGGAAAGGAATTAACAGCAATGATCAAAGAAACACGGACAACGGACAACAAATAAATACTTATCAGCAGCCTCAACCACTAATGTCACAACTGGCACTAAAGGAAGGTCAACAACAACAAAAAATAACCGAAGATTCTTCTAAGAAGAAGCAAGTTCCATTTGAACAGTTGAAACACGCTGTTTCATCAAATTTACCATGTTTTCTTGTTGAATTTAATTCTGATGCGAATCATAATAACATTCCATCAGCTCTTCATGCAAGTGATTTTATTTTTAAGGAACTAAAATCTAATGGCATCTCAATAGATCGTTTTTCACTAGTTGGATGGGCAGGGAAAAGGTTAAAGTTGGGTGTTAATAATAAAGTAGATTATGCCACACTTATGGAGACGGATAAATGGTCAACGGAAATAAATGGAATTAATATAGTAGTTGTTAAGCCAAAGTATACACCGGACTCATTTGCTCTAGTAGTTCGATATATCCCTAGAGATTTAGAAGACAATTTTGTTGCAAATGAAATAAAACGGACAATTGCATCTGCGGATCGAATTAAACGGATTCATTATGCTTACCAAAGGAAAACAGATGATTACCGATTCGACGTAAAAAACTATAGTGAATATAATGCAGCATTACAATTAGGTCGAATTGCAATTGGTCATTCATGGTTATCAGTTACTAATTCTATCCGGGCAATCGCTTGACGTACTGTACAAAGTGTTGGTGTATCGGTCATTTAAGAGCCAAATGTGATTCAACAAGTAAATGTCGGGTATGTCTGGAAAATCTTAACGTCAATATCACACATATATGTAAAAATGAATTTAAATGTGCACAATGTGATGGTAATCATCACTCACTGGACAATCAATGTCAAATTATACACGAGTACAAACATCGATTAAAAGAAGATGTTGAAGTCGCGATCAAAAAAGGGTTAATTCATCGATCAGAACCTATAGAAAAATGTACGTCCTTCGAACTACGTGAACAAGATTTTCCAGCATTGATCAATAGTAATAAGCAAGTTAATTATAAATGGGGTACTCAACAATTACGTATAACTAGTGATTCCAATTCTTTAAATGTATTAGACTCAGAAAAAACAATGGGCACTATTAATGATAAATTGACGACACTTATCGACAGTAACAAACGAATAGAGAAAAAAGTTGATCAACAAACTATTGATATAAACATGGTTGCTCTGGACACTCAACTACATCAAGCAGTTTTAGTCGACACTATCGAAATTATGAAAGATTTTTTACAAAATTTTATTCCGGCATTGTTAACCTCCGGAAAAGCTGAAAGATTAACATTGATGCCTCTAACACAACGGTTTTTTAATCGATTTCATGATTCAGCTTCAAGATTAAATGAAGGTTTTCAACTCAATCGTCAAATTTCACTAACTCAAGCAGCTACTAATCGCATCGCCGATCTTGCAACAACAGCCGAATCATTATCAAGAATTACACAGCCATCAAATTCACGCTCATCACAAAATAATAAGTAGAACGCCGAGTCAGGACCTTAATGTGCATGCTAAAGTCTTTTTTCCTTCACCCATTACAAAATCATCCTCATTAAGCCTTAGAGAACAAGCAATGCACCGTCTAAGTACGTGGAATTTTTCAATAAAAGATCAGAAGTTAGTACTATCTCTATTAGATGAGTGGTACACTAGTAGTACTCTAAATACACTCTTATGTCATTGGGATAATAGTGAAATAGTTCCGTCAAAAAATCAGCACCAAAAAGAATATTTAAAAATACTTTGTTTTAACGTTGAGGGTTGGGGAACACGTGCTCTCGAAGCTACAGATTTAGTGTATAAAACTCAAGCTTCGATTTGTATTTTCACGGAAGTGGGAGCATTATGGAATACAAGTCGTTTACCTCATTTTAATACATTCTATCAAAAGGGTACTAACAAGAATGGAGGGGTATGTGTAGCAGTAGGAAAGCATCTGAAAGTAACGCGTGTTGAAGTTAACATTTCAAACATTGTAGTAGTTGATATATTAGGTCTCTCGGAACCATTACGAATAATCGGAATTTACTGGCCAGCTAGTCAACATATTAACCTAGATGACCTTCTGTGCTATGTAGTACAAGGCACTATAATATCAGGAGATTTTAATGCAACAGTGAAAGAATGGAATAGTCCGGTAACGGATAGGAGAGGTGCACTGGTAAAAGAATGGATTGAAGAGAATAATCTTAAATACATACCGACGACTGCACATACATCAAAACGCTCATTACGTAATATAGATTTAGCTTTCTCGAATATTAATAATGTATCCAGTGAAACTCTATATTTCGGTACTAGTGATCACTGGCCAATCATACTATCATGTGATAATATTTCCTTTGAGACAAACAGTTTTTTTCCCCATACCAACTGGAAGGCATTTGAAGCAGTTTTAACACTACTTCAACCTTTCTGGTTAGAGGAACAAAAGATAAATGATGTAGATGAATGGTATAAACAATACGTTCGGTTTATTGCAGCTGTCAAAAAGAGAGTGACTCATTGGAAAGAAAGAGAAAAATATAAACCATCATTACCAGCAAGCATTATCGAAAGATTAAAAGAAATACGGAAAGTTAGAAATAGATACTATCATTTAAAATATAACGGAATAGATAGTGAAGAAACTAGGGTGCTACTACGAGTGTTAACTAGAGAATCAAAAATTGAAATTTTAAAATATAAAAATGCGAAATGGCAAGAATTTTTGTTCAAAATTCAAACATCCCATGAAAATATGGAGAAAGGGTTCTGGACGCACCTATCACCCATTTATAAATCTCGTGCACTACCATTCTATAAATTATCAGTCGGCACGAATATTTTCTCAACTGAACAACAAATTACAAATGAATTATATCTATACTATAGCGGACAGTTCAAGGAACCCGAATTAGATCACTTAAGTCAGCATGATATGAAGATAGAGAGAGAATACCAAAAATTATTAAATAAATTAAGAAATTCAAAAGAGCAAATAGGAAAAACTAGCGCCTTCGAAATTTCACGAATAATCAAAACTCTAAAACCCAAAAAATCCGCAGGTTTCGACTTGGTGTCCAACTTTACAATTAAAAAACTTCCTCCGAGCTATATAGAATGCTTAGCTAACTGTTTTAATGTTTGGCTAGAAGAAGGTAGATACCCCGAAGATTGGAAAATAGCAAAAATAATAACACTTAATAAATTGAAAGTAGGCCTTCCAAAATGCGAACAAACGCGTCCAATTTCCTTATTAGCGACACATTCAAAACTTTTTGAAAAAGTGTTGTTACAGAGGATTAGATATTGGGCTGAAACTAACAGCTTGATACCCCTCGAACAATCAGGTTTTCGTCAAAAATGTCTACTTCAGACTCGTGTTCTCTCAATCTATCAGGAAGTAAAGAATAATATGGCTGCTAATATTCCAACTTTGGCTATCTATGTCGATTATCAAAAGGCATATGATCGCGTTTGGCATGCCGCTCTAATATATAAATTAGATAGAATGGGTATGCCCCTCAACTTACTAAAAATGATTGAGAGCTGGTTAAAAAATAGAAAAGCTTACGTAGAGTTTGGTGAAAAAACTTCGAATTCATTTGATATAAATGTAGGTCTTCCACAGGGTAGCAGTCTTAGTCCGTATCTATTCATTGTCTTTCATGCGGATCTTATAAACTATCTTGGTGCCTACTCAAGCCACCTATTTGCTGATGATCTCTGTGTATTAATCAGTCCACCAATAATGAGAAACTTAGCGCCAATGATTGAATATTTAGAAAAAGAAGGTACTCGAATTTGTAATCTAGTTCTTAAGTATTCAAAACAATGGAAACAACCGATTAATCTTTCAAAAACAGTAGTACAAATATTCCATTCCCAAGTAAAAAGACCTATAGTAAATGTAACAATGGAAGACAAAACAATAGAAATAGTAAAAGAATTTAAATATCTAGGATTCACATGGACTGATAAACTATCACTCCAGCCAACGATTGTAAAATCTATAGGAAATATCCAGAAATCGTTAGGAAAACTTAAATGGCTAAAATCAGGGCGTACAATGTCGTATAAAGCTTTACGTCAATGTTTCTTTACATTCTCCTTCCCTTATTTCGCGTGGCTATTCCCCTTTTATCCTTTTCTTCCAGACTCGCTAAAGTCAAAGCTGCAACAAAAATTCCGTGTGGGACTCCGACTGGTGCATCGCTGCCCTTTTATTTCTGCTCATAAATTGTTCAGTTTCACATCAGAAAACACATTAGAATTTTATGTTAAAAATTATATCCAAAGAAGATTAAAAACTACGCTTACGACAGATCTCGGTTCATCACTTTTCTATGAAGACATTTTTGTATGGGATGAATTTTTTAAAAGGAAAAACGATCACCTGGGTCACTTTTTCCGCTCCCGCCGTGTTCGACAATTGATTGATCGACGCGAATCACTTCTATTAAAGTGGCTGTCTTTCATCGATGAGAATTGAGTTCATTGGAATACGAGAGAAGGAAAACAAAAAAAAAATTGGGTGCAGCCCTATATTTGTTCCTTTCTTTTCTTTCCAGTTGTATTCTTCAATTGCATTGTTCTCCAGCGTGGTTTTCTGCTTCTCTTCTTTTTCTTTTTCTCTTACTTTTTATTGTTTATTTTTTCTTTTTTCTTTGGGTATCTTAGTTCTCCTTCTTTTCCTCTCCTCTCCCCTTTGTTCTCTTCTGCTACATATCCTCTGTATACACCTTAATACATTGTAGTTGTTGCTTATCAATTAAAACGATGCGCTTTATCTCTCTACAGTTTATTGTATTAGTTTATTTTCGAATTCGTTTCTTTATTTTGTTCATTTCTTATTTCATTATCTATTATGATAATCCACCGTCAACATCCCCTCAAGCGTGATACGAAAGTCTAGGTATTAATATTGGCGGAGTATATGTAGTATTTTGTTTCATGATGCAGTGTTTAGCTTAAGAAATTATCCTTATTCATTTTTAACATGTAAGCACTTCCGAGTGTCACATTTTCAAGCTAAATAAAAAAAAAAAAAATGGAACGATCATGACATGATAAATGACGAAGATCATCATTGGAACGAAGATATGCTCCTGCTGTTTCATAAACAGATACTAAAAATTCTTCTACAAGTGCTTCGTACATCGCACAAGTGAATTCTGAAACAATGTGTGTATCTGTCAAACGTTGAGTAAACGGTAAAATTTGAGATTCTTTATAACAATTAAATAAATTTGAGAGAAGTGTCAATTGATTAATAGTTAATATTGATTGATCTGATTTTAAAAGATTTAGTGTCGAGAGCTAATAAATAACAAAATATATATTATATTTGTAAAACAATTACTCGTAACAATTTTATCATCTACTCTTTAACTACTTAGATATTGAGTTATATAATAAGATAAGAGTATTTTAAAAATTTTTCAGCGATATTCCAATGAAAATCTGAGAAAATTAATCAAATTGATAAGATTTCAAACTAGAATGAACTTATGGCATATTTATGAGATTGAGAAGAATTCTTATAACTCCATCATTACAAAAGACATAGAGCTCGAAGTGATTTCAAATTAAATCTAATACTCATGCGAAGTTTTTGTCGGACAAAATTTTGAAATTCACTTGCATTCGAGTTTTGTCATCATATCAGTACATATGACTTTAAAATATGCAAAAAAAATGTCACTTCGCGATACTAAATCTCAGTTTTCTCAACATAGAACTTAACTATAAAAACCTGATCAGACACAAGTTTACTCTCATTTAGATCTTTAAAACAAAACAAAAACATTGGTTATATCTTGAACCGGATGGAAGGAGTTTCAATTTTTTTTGATTAAAAATCATCTTCTGAAGAAAACGGTAGATAAGTTTAGACATGAATTTTTGTCATTCATGTCTAGAAGAAATAGAAAACGTATTAAAATGGCATATTCATAATATTATTTAAATGAAATTTGTAAAAGTACGTAACAAATAACATAAGACAGTACTATCTGTCGCGCTTAAATTATAAAAGTATGTTTGTTCAATGCTGATTCAAGCAAAAAGGCATTCTTCACAAAACTAAAAAACTTTAAAAAAAAAAATTTCTCGGCAAAAAAAGGAAACTTCACTACATTTTCCTATGATAAAAACGTGACTTCGATTTTCTGAGAGCGAGGAGCTTAAAATGGTCAAATTGACAGAGGTATGTTCAGATTTCCAAAAAAGGAAATTACAGAAATTTCCGAAGTTTCCATCAACTCGATAACTACATAGCAGAGCAAATAAAATTTTTTTGGAAATATTGGAAATTTTCGAAAATTCGGAAATTACATGATTTTGGGAAATACTAAACAATTTAGAACACAAGTGATTGAAATTTCCGAAACTTCCTTTTTCGGAAGTCTGAACACTGCTGAATCGACGTTGAAGAAATACAATAGATTTCTCATTAGTAAGATTATTCCGATCAATTTAATTTAATAATTTTACCGTCTCTGGTTGATGTTGTACTTTTTTTTTTATTAAAGTGTTTGTTTTTGGTTTAGTCTGTCTTGATGCTTGAATTTTGTCAATACTCATTCCACATTTAAAACATTTAGCAAGTCGACATGCTGGACATATATGACGATTATTTAAATTAATTTCACATTGACCATCAAAATGACATGTACATGCTGCCTAAATGGATTCAAATGAGAATTCAAATCAGACGAGAGAAACAATCTGACCTGTTCAGTATTGGCATTTCGTTTAAAGAACATTTTACATGGATGACATGAAACAGCACCAAAATGAGAATATTCAGCAGGAACACCACATATTTGACATTCATGTGGAAGTATTTTCGGTTTTTTAGTTTTGATCGACCTAGATGGATTTACTGTATTATTCGACTCAAACTTCTAAATGAAATTTATCTTACATTAGACTAAACTTATTAAGAGAACAAATAAGAATAATGAAAGAAAAGAACAAATCTACTTTATATAAAGCAAAGGTTATTCGAAGTGCATCGCTATTTTTTATTTCTTCTGTATAGAACGACAATTTTTCTTTCATCTTAACCACCACGATGTTTGTGTTTCTCGACATATTTACGTTATTTTTTACAGAAAGAAAAAAAAAAAAGAGGCTGGTTTCTTTTTATGTTCTGTTCAGTTCTCGTCCGCCTCGCGTTTTATTTATCTCGATGCTTATTGCGCATGATTATAAACTAAATATAGAACTACCATCAGAATCATAATTTTCATCAAGAATACTAAAATTAGATGCAATAATTCCACGGCTATTAAACCACAGTCAAAAACAATGACAATTGAATGTAAAGTTTGTGTAGTTAGAGCTAAATATTCATAATTTGATGTTATATATCGTGTCATTCATGTATATTGTTTTTTTTAAAGGACATCCTGAACAAGGATAAATGAATGGATAATATGTATTTACTTATATAAAATTTATTTATGTTTTCATTAGAAAACATTGATATGTGATTTTGATGGTCATTGTGAAATAAATATAAATAATCGACTTGTCAAATTTTTTTTCCAAGTTGAATTCAAACTGAAATGATTGGATCTTCTAGGTCGACAAAAGAGTAAAATAAATTTAAAAAAGAAAGTAATGACAAATTCAGTGCAAAGTACATCAACAACTTCAGTCAAATTAAATGAACCTGAATAGGTGAGACTATTTGATTGTTAGTACGAGTGAAGCTTTAAAAATAGGTTAATTATTTTCTTTAACTTTTTACAACTTTTACAAAAGAGAATCTTACAATTAATTATAAATACGAGTAACGTACATCCTTCAGATTCGCTCATCCTTTTCTAAAAGAATGATACATTAGAAACTACTCACTATGATCTTGTAGAACTTTAGTCCTAAAATATTTGGACACTCAAAAAAAAGCATAGACATAACTTTTGAAACACACAATCATGCACAGAATTATACCCATAATTTAACTGCGTAGTTTTCTTAAAAATTTTCATTAGATAATATGTATCTTGCTAACAGTTTCACAGCATTACACAAACTTGTATTACAGCAATTATGCCAGACGCATTCACATACTGTAATAGTAAAGATTATAGAAAAAATTACACATTAAAATAGACAGCGAAAACAATAACCAATGTCGTTTCCATATATATTTGTAGAAGATAGATTCTGAAATTCGTTCTAGGAAATGTTTATTCATTGCATAAGACCAAGAAAGGATTCTCCTGATAGTTTTTTGTTGGGCAGTGTATAAATGACGACCTATACAAGAACTTTGAAGATCAGTTCACGTTACAAAGTTAGGTATAATTGATGTATCACGTAGTATTTTATTGGTAGGAAGGCTCTGTACGTGTGTCAAAATATTGATTTGTATCGGATTTTTCAAGTGTGATGGAAGAATGTTTTTTGTGAAAGTTCAAGGTGTAACCTTGTCACCATATGAAATTGCGAATCTTCTTTTGCTTTTTCAAAACGGTTATTTCACTACTAATAATACATCTAGCCTAATCAATATTTTCATAAGAATTTTTTTTTAATAATTTGTCATAACATAGAATAAGAAAGTAAACACCAAATTAAGTTTAGAATACCTTCAAGATCATGAAATATGATTACAATATCGAACAACTCAATAAAATTTTTGTTTAAATGATCACATTCATGTTTCATTGTTGTTTTTAAATCACACAGAATGAGTTATTGTACTTAAAACAAGTAATTGATGCTTATTATTGAAAAAGCTTCTATCACGTTCTTGTGACGACATAACGTCTGAATGACATCTAATACAAATGTGTATCTCACATCAGTTTACGTAATCATTTCAACTGTAGCAGATTTAGAAAAATATCTAAATATTGACACACAATGTCCATTGTACGTGACATCATTAGTTACACTACTTTCAAACAGATTTATTGTCTTCTCACTAACATGAGCTCTCCAAGAAAGTATACAAAACAGAAGTTACAAAACTTTTTCTAGTTTTTTCCGGCTACGAACGAAATAGTTTGAATTATTTGACAAAAACTCGTTCAGATGCTATTAATATTATGCTCGTCATTTTTGAGTGAATTACAATGGAAACTTTGGCATTTTCTAGATTTTTAGATCATCAATTTGCAGTGCTAGTGTACTGCACAAAATTTTAAAAAAATTATTTTACTTAGATACAGTTACAATCTGCTTTTTAAAAGTGATTATGAATGAGTTACTGACTTATGAACTGAACCTTAAGAATTCTATATGGAATGATGCAGTGAAGAAACTACTTTTGAATGCTAAAAATTTAAACTCAATAGCTACAAGATTTTTTGAGTGAATTGAAATAGTTTAATCACTTAACTTATTTTTCATCCTTCAAAATTTTCAGAGAGTAACACGATCGGTAGATTATTTGCAGCTGCAATCATGTTGGTCGCATCAAAACTATTCAACTATACATGTAATTTTGTATTAGTGAAACTTTAATTATTCGTACGAACATATGTAACCAGCAGTGAAAACTATCATCATACTCTAAAAAATTATAAATACGAAGGTCATATTTGATGTATGAAAAGTTATGGGATTTCGAAAGTAGTGAAGAACAAAAGAAAAAAGAAGAATATCCATTTTAGGAGAAAAATTATTTCTGTGTATCTTATTAGTTACTTCATTATATGTGTTACAGCGATTGATATGGTGCTACAATTTTGGAAAGAAAAATTCCCACAAATAGAAGAATTTTGTTCAATTTGAAGAAATAAAATTTTTTGTGATAGTTCAGTTCGATTCAAAAGAACTATTATCAAATCTCAAACTATTTTATTAGATTTATTGCATTCCTCATCCAAACTGTGTGCTAAAAAGAAAATTAAAACTCTATCAACTTCACTTTTTAATTGATTATTAGCTTAATCGAATAAGTGTGATTAGTTGATATATATGATTTGATCTTCATATTCATGAATGATTTTATATAAATTCTGTTAGAGAGACGATAGAGTATTTCGTTTATGAAATAGATTAAGTTTTCTACATCGGAATCAATTTTATTTCTAGCTAATAGCGAGATAGTAGACTACTGTCAAGTGTATTCATGTAAGAAAAATTTTATTTTTCTATTCATTTTTGATAATAAGTTCACCACCTACAACTTAATATTATCGTTTACATAAAGATATGTGAAAATTAAAGTTAAAAACTCAGTCGATATAATAAATAAATGATTAATGTTTTTTAATATTGAGACTTTGATTGATGAAAAGAAAATTTCATCAATAATTCTAGTTTAACAACAATATTTAATTTCATAATTTAGTGATAGAACTTTGCTTATATTGGTAAGCGTTTAATATATCAATCGCTTCTTTAATCTAAAAAAACCAAGAAATATTTCAAATATTGATTTTTCATTGTTTATTAATTAATTCTAACCTTTTCTTTGAGTATTTTCTGTGATTTAATCAATGTTAAAATATGTTTTGTATCTAGTTCAATAAACATTCCAGTAATTTTTGCAGCTAAAGTTGGTTCGATCTGTTGAACAAGTACAAAAAGTCGTTCACCTAACCATTGTTTTTGTTCAGTCAATGTTACTTTATGTAACATAGCTAGTGGTAATGGCTCAGTACCAGGTACATTTATTATATTTTCTTCGTTCTATAAAAAAAATGCAAAAATTCGAATATTTAAAAAAAGATAGGCGATCTTTATAGATTACTTTATTATCATCTATTTTTTTAATTTCATTATTATTTTTATGAAAAAGTTTAATTAAACGTATAGGTGATTCATTTTTATCATGTTCTAAATAAACACATGTCGAAAGATTTGATAAATCTTGTCGAAGATTATTTAATTGTTCTGTCCATTTTGAAAGAGTAATATTTTCATTTAAATTTGTTTCAATTTCTTTATTCATTTGATTTAATAAATTAGCAAAATCTTGAAGTTTTCTATCAAAAATTTCTTGAAGATCATTTCGAGCTTTTTGAGCTGTGATTTGAATTTTTGCTATCGAATGATTTTCCCATTGATTAATATAAATAAAAAGAACACGATCATCATATTGAGATGAATGATTATCATTTTCTATTTTAATTTGTACATCATTGTTTGTTGCCATATGGATAAATATTTTCAAAATGATATTTGTCTTATTCGAATGACGATGTCGATAATAATGTTAACTTGTCCGTGAAAGATAAAACTTATTTTTGCTCCCATGCTGCTTTTTTTTTTATCGTTCTCATTATAAATACTATAGAACAGAATAAGAAAGCACACACCTGTGTAACCTTCAATGTGTAAATAGACATGATTTTCATTTAGTTTTGTATTGAAGAGAAAGAAATTGTGATGCAAGAATAAAAAACAACCGTTTCGCCGAAAGTGGAAAGAATAAATATTTTCATATGAAAAGAAAACAAACTTTTGCTTAACTATTGTTATTATAAAGAAATGACTCCATTGAATTATTTTTCTTGATTTTATCAATATTTATTTAGTGGTACATATTTGCCTATCTAAGGATTGTGCTGTATTAACAGCTGTTCAAATTTTCGATTATAAGAAAGGAAAAAATAAGCTATTCAAAGACTAAGTACCAATCTAATCTATTAGGAATAACATTTTTTTCATTGAATCGTGCGAACGACAGCGTGAAGTTTTTTTTTTAGGCATTTATTGAATATCGTAAATTTATCTGTTAATGTTCTAGAATTCGTTCTAACTATATTAGAACAAGTCGATTGTTTGCTGACTCAATTCTTCTCATTCACATATCATATATTTATCATGAAAATGATTGTTAGAATTGATCAGAAAAAAAAGTCCTGGAATCTATTGTAAAATTCGAACTCCAATTTGTTATGATCATAGGAATATAAATTTTTTCATTATACTATTTTTTACCAAAAAAAAAAGATAAAAGTTCAATAATTTATTGTTTCTATCTGAAAATTAGTGAAAAGCTATTATTCAGCATAGGACATGAGTGACACGATGATGACCGATTTTTTAAGATTATTGAATTTATATTTATATATGTTATGATTTATGGTGCATTTCTTCAACCTGCATTTTGATCTAATATATTTGGCATTTGTTTCATTTTCTAGTTTAATAGTTGATATAGGCAATATTCTAAAGAGTCTTCTTCCTAATTATCTTCATGTAAAATATAGACTATGTGTCAATATGAACAACAGTATCTATCCTCTGCAAAGTTTATATTTATTTTCTTGGATATTTTTCTCATTGATCTATTTATTTATTAGTCGTATCATTGATCGATTTACTGCTTACACATGCATAATTGTAATCAGCATGTGGCATATGTTCTATGATGCTCAGTTATGTTATTTATATATGGAAATGTCATAGAAAATTGTCGATCAGTAATATAGGAATATTTTCTTTTTTGACTTTGATTTAAAGAAAATATTTTTTACTTTAGATGAAGATAAACGTGAGAGATATCAATTGACAATACAATCAATTTATTCGAACGATTTAGGGCCCATTCGAGTGAATATTGGTTACGCAGTTAGAGAAAGTTATATGAGATAGGAATATGAAACAATTTTCGCAATCATTATCTAGCCACCATACAATCGATATTGCCTAAAACCTACTAGCAAGTCTATTTATCTCTCTGTTCTTGCTTAGTTAGACCATCTGGATTCACATTTTTCTCAAGGAAGAAATAAATTTCAGTACTTTTCCTCCTCTCACTTTTCAATTTTGATATTTTGAAATGTATAATTCTGTGAAAGTTGAAAATTTTGATGATGATCAAAATTGGCTTATGCTATGTGTTTAAACTTTGGTCAAGTGGAAATTCTTATTATTATGATACTATTTAGTCATTTCAAGTTTCATTATGGTCATTGAGGTTTGATTTTGACGAAACAATCTGAAGTATTTCATCGTGCAGTGATGAATCATTTGAATGATATCTTCGGTTTTCATTTGGGCTTTTCTTCTAATTTCATCAAATTCACATAATCATAACGAGTCTCATTTGAATATCAAAAATCAATCGAGCAATTTTCTTTCTTTTCAATGACTTTGTATTTTCTTCGATTAATCATAAAGATAAAATTCGGAAGCGACTATTTTCATGACATCTAACTATTATCGATCACTACATTAGAGAAAAACTTATTAATGAAACAAAGATGGAGTAGGATTTTGCTATTATTCAGATATTTGACATTAGCCTTAGTAAAGCAATTAGATACTCAACAATGTTTCACATCATGTAGTGAAATGATTCATTGGAACGGAATGATCGATCAGTACGAAGTATTCAGCTATCCTTCAATATTATTTATCAATTTAGGCACGAGGCATTTTCTCAATATCGATCAATTCGTGTGCATATGTCGCATAAAACGTTCAAAGATATCTTGCTGACAATGTAATTAATCTAATCGCCCATCGTATCACAATATGATAAGACATTAGATTTTGTGATAAAGTAGCACATCTTCTCATTTTTTTTAACGAATATCCGACGTGATATGCCTGTATCATTGTATTTCACATACACAATAACAATTACGAGCACAAAATCTTTTCTCTTCTTCATAATAGTCAACATATAAAAAAGGCACATCTCTCTTTTGTCAGCGATTTTATACTCTGTCATGATAAAGTTCATTATTTTCACATGATAGAAGATTAGAAAAGTTTTCAATTTTCCGACTAGTTCTAAATCACTTACTGCCTATCAGGAATTTTCACTGTTCAATCAATGGAAGTTCAAATCATCTTTGGCATTTGCCTATTTTACAGCGAAATTTCTGACATCGCTAATTCTTTAGTATTGTACTTAAAATGCTTCAACTCGGTAAAAAAAAAAGACCAGATAATTTAGACAATTTAAGACAGTCTGATAGAACTTGACGAAAAATGACCTTACTATTTGGTTAATTGTTCCAGACTACGATGAAAGCGTTAAAGAAATGTCAATTTTCAAAATTTATCAATTTCGATCAATGTTGAATCTTTGTATTCGATGATTATTTTGATCACTCACGTAGAGATTACCCTCCCGATTAAATGACAAACCGACGGGAAACAAGAGTTGATTCGATTGATTTCCTTGACCATTTCCACCAACGATTACACTTCCTTCTGTGACTCCTTGAGGCCAACGTGTTATTCGGTGATTCCCACTGTCAACCACATAGAGAGTACCTGACTGATCCACGATAACTCCATAGGGACACGATAATTGTGTAAGATTATTTCCTTGACCTTGACCACCAGCCACAACAATGCCTTGTCTTGCACCTTTTATCCACTTCATGACACGATGGTTACCATAATCCGATACGTACACTGAATGATCTCGATCGACAAATACAAATCTGGGATGTGTCAACTGGTCGAGACGATTTCCTTGTCCATTTCCGCCTGCAACCACTGTTCCTTGACTTTCTCCCATTTCATATCGTCTGACTTCATCTTTATCGTTATCAACAATATAGAGAAATCCATCACTGTCAATGGTCATCTCAATACATCCAACATTTGAGATAATCGTTTCTCCGTTTGTGCCATTTTGACGAAGCAATCTAACTACTCGTCTGTTGCCATAATCACAAATGATAAGACTATTTCTTTCTTTATCAATCATCACATCATATGGACCACTCAACTGATCAGAACGGTTTCCTCGTCCATTGCCGCCGGCCACTATTCGACCAGATGTGGCACCAAATGTCCATTCCATAATACGATGATTTGTGTAGTCAGCAATGTAGATAGTTTGATCATCGTCAGCACAAATACCCCATGGGTTGTGGAGTTGATTCATTCCACTACCGTTTCCATTTCCTCCAGCAACAGTGACACCATTTTGTATCCATTTCGCATTTGCATTCAGATTTGCACTGCGTAGTAATAATGCTGAAACAAAACACAATTGCGCTTATTGATATTGAATCAATTTACCTCAATGAAAAGCGAAGTGATGAACTTTCATCCAGAAAGAAAAAGAGAGAGAGAACAGTTTTATCCATTGGTGATATCAAACAATACCTAAATAGTAATCGCATGATTGTGATATTTCGAATGAAGAAAAATCTTAGTACTTCTATTGAATTTTGATGAAATTTCAAATCTTCGAAATTTTCATTCCAATTTTCTTATGCTCTGACTGTCGTAAAAACACATTTCATCTTTTAAACAAGCTTATATAACAAAATGTCATTATTAATGATAGCTATGAGAGACCAAAACCGAATCGAATCGAGTCGATATTTTCTTATTCATTTCGGTCTCTAATAGCTATCAATGAAGGAAAATCGTCAATACTTTTTTTCGAATAGATAATTGTTGAAAATAGCTGTAGACGATGAAAATGACTATTGACTTCGGAAATGTATTTTAATAAAAGAAAATCAATTGAATATATCGTCAACACTATTGGAAATGAAATTTAAATTGAGAACCATTAATATGCTTGGTCATGATAAAATATTAGATGAATTCGTTGGGGAATTTCTTTTCTGTTTTATTTTTAGTTCATTATACTCACAGTTTTGTTCTTCTTTTTGGACTCCTCGGATGTAGATCAGTCGATTCCAATCAATTTCATCATTGTCAACGATGATGGTTTTATTGGTATCTTTTCGAATAAATTGTTCAACTATTTTTTGGATTTCATTGAGTTTTTCTTTAAGTCGATCAATATCGTTTTCAACAAATGTTTCTTCTTCTCGGTGGCAACGAATTTCTTTTGTGATTGGTTCAAGTTGGTTTGTTATTTTTATTTTTTGCTTATCGATTAGTTCGATAAGTTCATTACGAGCTCTTTCTGCTGCCTTTTCTACTTTATTGATTGTTGATTTTTTCCATTGTTCAATTTGAGCGAAAAGATCCGATGATAAATAATTTGACCTTTCTAATTTTTGGATTTGATCAAAAAGCTCATCATGTGATCTAACTATTTCATTATCGAATTTCACTGATAGTTGTTGTTCATGTTCTTTGAAATCTTTCGGACAAAAATATTTTTTACATCCAATACAAAAGTATTTAACTGAAGGTTTGTTGCAGATTGAACATAAATTTGATTCATTTACTGTCGCCATTTCTTTTTGAAGAAATCCAATCGAATTATATAATTTATAAAGTGAATATCTCGAATAGTCTCGATCTGAAATGAATTCGTAAGTATACTTATAAAGAAATAATTTTAAATAATTCACTCAATAATTTTTCTTTATAACGCAATTCGTGTGTAATAGTAACATAAAAAGAAAATCATATCAATTTTCAATCGATTCATATGCTTATGGCTTAATAACTACTATCGCAACTATTTTTCCCGAGCGTATATACTAACGAGAGTTTTTTCTCGTTTCAGTGTACTTTTTCCTTTTCATGTCAACATATAAAAGTATGATTCATGACATGTAATAGAGACAGAAATGTCACGAATGTTAGTCAATCGATGCGCTTTTTTTAAGTAAATATTGACTTTTATTAGGATAACCTTAAGGGCCCCCCCCCCTCAGAAACCAATTTTGTTATTTTTCATCCGATTTCAACCAAAATTTCAGAGAATGCTAGTCTTGGCTANTGATCTCTTAGTGATTTTTGCCATCGAAATGATATATATATATGTTGTGGTCAAAATTAAAATTTTAATTTTGTCCAACATAATATCAGTCAGAACTAAAATTTTAATTTTGACTAGACGAAATTAAAATTTTTTTGATGAAAATAAAAAGGTAAAGAAAAACCAAAAGCCAAAGTAGCGACAACTTTTTGATTTCAAAAAAATTATTAACAAATATTATATGAGTGTGGGTGCAATAGGAGCCTTGTAGGAGTGTCAATTTATATTTACTTTCAATTTAATTACTGCGTAAATTAAATTATCGATAATTTAAATTTAAAATAAATTTAGACTATTTTTCTCATAATTTGCATTTAAAGTAAATTTAATTTTTTTCCATAATTTAAAAGTTAAAAATAAATTTAAATTGTCTAAAGCAAAATTTATTTTAAATATAAATTCTGATAATTTAAATTTATTTTTAAATTTAAATTATGAATAAAATTTAGTTTGTTTTAAACTTGATTACCGATGATTTAAATTTATATAATTTAATAGAAAAATGGTAACTCTAGAGCTTTGCTCCTTTCACACCTACCTACACTCACAACCTTCAAAACTAAGCACCCTCACCCACATCCATACATTTTGTTGCCGAAATTTTACCTTATTCTTTTCATTAAAAAAAGAATTTTAATTTTGTACAGTCAAAATAAAAATTTGGCTTTTGACTGACATTATGTTGGGCAAAATAAAAATTTTGATTTTGACCACAACATATACCTTCCAAATGTGAAAAGACATTACCAAATGTATTTAGAGTAGCAAAAAAGAAACTTCTATATTAGGTACTTGATTCATTGTGCTATATATTTAGGTGAATAGCGCTTATAGAGAAAAATAGTGTGTGACGTGCACTTCATTTTTTCTACTTCATTATTTAGTTTCGAAAAACTTTTTAAATAGATCCAATAAGTAAGACCTGTGACTAAAACTAGGGAAGAATAGATATAACTCACATACCTTCATATTACAGACAATATTAAAGTTCAGTGTTTACTAGTAAATAAGACATACCAAGTAGCATCGATTCGAAGAAAGTCAGGAGTTAAAGAGTATACAACAATAGTGTAGTTTCATTTCTTTTCAGAGATTAGATTCATGGCCATGTAATTGTAAACAATCGAGCAATAGTCTTCTAGCGAAATTTAACATTTTACTTTATCTTCCAAATAGTGAAAACATCTTCTAGTGAATAAGCAAGATCCGACAATTTAAATTTAGAATGCATGAGATCCTTAACACTTGAGTTAGCTTTTCTAGTAAATTTTTTTTATTATTTGGAAGATAAAATAAAACAAAAAAAATTGCTAGACAGCTATCATTCGATATTTACATTTACATGACCATGAACCTATTCTCTGAAAAGAAATGAAACTACACTACTGTTATATGCTCTTTAACTTCCGACTTTCTTCGAACCAATGTTACCTGGTACCTCTTATTTATTAGTACATACTGTATTTTAATGTTATTTGTAAAATTAAGGTATGTGAGTTATATCCATTCTTCCCTAGTTTAAATGGTAAGTATGCTGTTCGCCGAAAGATACATCGCCGAAATACAGTTTGCCGAAATTCGGCGAACCGTATTTCGGCGAAATATAATTTTGGTAATGTGGCAATCATCAATCTATCTTTTCGACGATATGACTTTCGACGATGTCACTTTCTGCGATGTAGTCATTGACAATGTTTTTCAACGCTGAGATATACAATTGTTAAGTCAAAGTGCCTAGGTTGAGTTAGGAACTGACTTAAGTTAGGAACTGACTTAAATTAGGAACTGACTTAAATTAGGAGCTATCTTGAGTCAGGAACTAGCTTAAATTAAGAACTAACTTAAGTTAGGAACTAACTTGAGTTAGGAACTGACTTAAGTTAGGAGCTATCTTGAGTCAAGAACTAGCTTAAATTAAGAACTAACTTAACTTAGGAATCAGGCCAGAAACTAAAACAAGCGCGAAATCTATCGCAAAACTCGATTGCAATTCATGATGTTTATGACATAAGCAAATAGCCGCTCTCTGCATGCGATTCATATCGAATGAGTGAACGAAAATAATGATTGCGGAAAGAATGTATCTGATAAATATCATCGGAAAAAATTCGGCGATCTATATTTCGATGATCTTTATATCGATGATCTTTATTTCGATGATATCTATTTTGGCGATCTTTCTTTTCGACAATGTTTGTTTCGGCGTCAGTTTCGGCGATCTCACTTTTCGACGATCTCGTTTTCGGCGATGAGCATTACATTCGTTTACTAGGGCACTATGTAGTATGTGTAGGCAAAGTTTCATTGAAATCGTCGGGGGGCATGTAGGAAGGTTCTCTCCTAAGTCCCAAGTTTTGAAGTTGCATTATAAGGTTCAACCATACTAAAATAACAGTACAGTATACTAGTAAGATGAACTAAACTGTTTATTATCTTACTAAAATCCTACGAAAAACAAGTCATTTTGGCCAAAGTGATATACCATTTTGTTCAGTTTTTAATGCTCTTTCTTATGGTATATTTGAAAGCTGAAAATTGAAAGTAAATTTTTTTATATACGTTAATTAATATTAATCAAGTTTAATTATTATTAATTAATTAAAACTAATAATATTCAAAAAGTGCTTTTTATCAAAATATAGCCCATTCAATTCTGCATCGAATGATATATAAACGACATTTAGAAGAATTATTAATAACTATGTAATAGCGAATAGTTAATAAAGTAGTAAAAGTGCTCTAAAATTTTGTCCGATGGTAAAAAGTAGTTCCTGTCATTAATATTCGAGCCACATGTCTTAAAAAAAATTTTGACTTCACAGATCTGTAGCCCGTTTCGAGAGCTATCGAAATCACTATTTGGTTATCCTCAACAAGCTGTGCTTCATAGATAAAATCGCAAAACAAAAAGTGCTCTAAATTTTTGTCCGTCACTTTATATCGAGGACATATCTTTCCCATTGTATCTATGTTAGTGAATTGTTTGTAGCTTTCGTGTAAACCGAAGCCACATTTCCATGAAAAGGTTCGATTGCGGCAATATAAGGAAATGTGTCACTTCCAACTTTTCCAATATCGACACTACCACTGCCATAGTAGTTCGTCTGTTGTTTTTCTCCCTGTTCACCATCGGCAGTTTTCTCAATTATCCATTCTCGTGAGTTTTCATTATAGTAAAGCCAACTAAGACTTTCTAGTGATGCAATCAGAAGTTGATCCACCCAATTAACTTGAAACATTTTAGCATCGTGAATTAAATGAAAAAAATTCTTTATCAATAGTTTCACAATCCTATGCTTTAGCAGTTAGCACATCATCAGGCTGTCCACATAACAATACAGGTACTGATACATGAAATGGGCCATTTACGACAGGCATACCTATAATCTCCCAGTGTTTGGTTTGCGTGAAATGGCCAATTTTAAGTCTGTGCATTGTTACTGATCTTCGAAAATAATGCTGTTTCCAAGATTCTGTGCCGTTTTTCTTTTCCAGATTCTCCAACCATATGATGTGTCCTCCATCAGGATCAAAGTCCCTTATTGTATTTCCATAGTCAAAACAGATAATAATGTCTTTAAATCCATCGCCTGAAATATCAGTCTGGCCCATGGCTATAGGAGTGATAAGTTTTTGGATACGAATCGGTTTGACTTTTTCTTTATTTGTGTATGGGTTCGCATAAAAATTAGCTTCTCCACGAGAAAATTCATAAGCTACGAGTCCAATAGGAGTTTGATTGTCGGGTTGAAAAGCTTCAATCCAGTACGCATCATTAAGGTCTTCCTCGATTACTTGCTTCTCAAATGAAGGACTACAGCCTCCATTATAGTATTCATTGGATGAAACACGCAATAGACGCAAGAACATCACGAAATATAAGGCATAATTTATTACGTCCATCATAAATAACCGTATTAAATGAATTCCCAATTATGAATAAAACGTACCAAAACAACGATCAGCGCGAAGACGATACGGTGTCAAGAAAAAAGTTAATAACGAAATGAATGAAATAAGATTATTGAGGAAATAAATTATATACACAATCCATTACTACCCATGCAGACAAGCGGTGAAAAAAACGACGTTTTTAAGCGTAAAAAGTGCACATTTTAACGTCTCATGAAATGTAACTTTTGTTCGAAAAATAAAGCAACCTTGTTACCGAAGCAGACAAAAATTTGGAAAAACGCGTTTAAACGCGTTTTTCCAAATTTTTGTCTGCTTGGGTAATAGCAACATCGGGAAAATGATTCTTTTTCCAAAAAAAAAAACGCTTTTTAACGCCCAGAAAAGATGTGATTTTTACGCGTAAAAACGTCGTTTTTTCAACGCTTGTCTGACTGGGTACGGTAAATTAGAGATGATGGGACGCGAAATATTTTTTCTCTTTTCTTCAACTTTCACGCTGCAGTGAAAAGGACCGTATAATAACTGGTTCGAAGACAGCGGATCGAATTAGAATAT